ACTCTTTCTAGTTCATCTACGTCCTTCTTATCCAAAACTGGACACATTACTACAGGCGAGAGCTCACAAGTGGTGAATAGAGTGGAAGAATCACTTCACTTTACTTGCAGGCAATACTCCTGTTAATGTAACCCAGCCTAATATTAGATTTTCTGTTTTTTTAAAACTGCAACAACACGCTGTGGACTCATATTCAGCTTGTAGTCCACTATAACCCCAAAGTCCTTTTCTGAAGTACTGCAGCCTAGCCAGTAATTCCACACCATGTGTTTGTGCATACAATTGTTCCAACCTAAGTGCAGGTGTTTGCATTTGTCCTTGCTGATTTTCATTCAATTAATTTTGAACCATTTTTCTAGGCTGTCAGGATCCTTCTGAATCTTTATCCTATCCTGCAAAGTATCTGCAGAGTTCCACTCAGCTTGGTGTTGACAAAAATGGTGGCTGCTAGAAATATTCATCAAGTCCCTTTGCTGTATCGGTGTGTGTGTGCACAGAACAACAGATTCATTGCACTTAAACAGAATAGACAACTGCTCACCCATCCAACAACGACACACAAACCCCATCAACTGCCAGCCACCTAAAGAAACCTCTGAGAGGTCAGACACTTGAATACCTTAGGCATCCCTCAGATTTAATAAAAAGGATTTCTGGTTAATATCTTTTCCCAATCCAGTGAGGAATAAAACAGAGAATCATAGAAAATTGGGGTCGGAAGCGACCTCATGAGGTCATCTAGTCCAACCCCCTGCTCAAAGCAGGACTAGTCCCAAATAGATCATCCCAGCCAAGGCTTTCCAGGTCTTAAAAAACCTCCAAGCATGGAGATTCCACAACCTCTCTGGGTAACCTGTTCCAGTGTTTACTACCCTCCTAGTGAGAAGCTTTTTCCTTAATATCCAACCTAAACTTCCCTTGCTGCAACTTGAGACTATTGCTCCTTGTTCTGTCATCTGCCACCACTGAGAACAGTCTAGCTCACTCTTCTTTCTAACCCCCCTTCAGATAATTGAAGGCTGCTATGAAATCCTCTCTGTCTTCTCTTCTCTAGACTAAATAAACCCATTTCCCTCAGTCATTTCACATAAGTCATGTTCCCCAGCCCCCAAACCATTTTTGTTGCCCTCCACTGAACTCTCTCCAATTTGTCCATATCCTTTCTGTAGTGGGGGGCCCAAAACTGAACACAGTACTCCAGATGTGGTCTCACCAGTGCTGAATAGAGGGGATTAACCACTTCCCTCGACCTGCTGGCAACACTCCTACTGATGAAGCCCTATTTGCCGTTAGCCTTCTTTACAACAATGGCACACTGTTAGCTCATATTCAGCTTATTGTCCACTGTAAGCCCCAGGTCCTTTTCTGCAGAGCTGCTGCCCAGCCAGTCAGCCCCCAGCCTGTTCTGGTACGTAGAACTGTTCCACCCTAAGTGCAGGACTTTGCACTTGTCCTTGTTGAACTGCATGAGATTTCTTTTGGCCCAATCCTCCAGTTTTTCTAAGTCACTCTGAAATCTAAACCAACCATGCATAACTCAATTCTAAAATCAGGGAACACATATCCCAAGCGCTAGAAGGTCAAAACAGGCTTCATTTCACAGAATTTAAGGCCGTGTTTTTGCTCTTTTGCAAATATTTGGTTTTCCCCCAATTTCACTTCATGCAAAGTTTTGTACCGAGTTGTGTGAATTCCTGACAGTTTCTAAATGCATGGATTCAAGAACAGCTTCATCAGCATGCAAAGGTTCAGACAGTTGTCGGAAGTCTTTCCATTGACTCAGCCACTTTCCAAGTGCCTAAATAAATATAAAAGCCACCATATAAAAACACAAGCACTAGTTGAGTAGTTCTGCATGTTAATAGGAGCATTCTTCATTTCCAATCCTTCCAGCAGATCTTTCTGGGGTAAAGTCCCTATCTGGTAGCACCTAAAGGTCCCAGTCAAAATTGGGCCCCTTTATACTTCAGAGAAACCACTTGTGTCCAAAAACACAAACATCTACATTACTCTGCTTTCTAACCAGAAATAAAAGCTTGCTAATTCAAAGGAGAGACTCACCCTGTCTCCAAAGACAGTTCTTGACTCTTACGTCTGTTCAGGTACTGTTCAAAACCTGTAAGAGAAAGATTGAATGACTTTTTCAATGTCTTCCCCCCACAAAATGATCACAACTACAAGGCATGACAGTATGCAAGCATCACCCATTTCATCCCAGGATGGCCAGACTCCTAATATTGTATTTAGTTCCATAAGAATTTGCTCTTAAAAATGTATATAACAGATTACCTGATACACAACCCTACCCTGGAACAGGCTTAGGAGAGAACAGCACCTTCTAATTCAGCAGGCTCTGTATAAATTGTAAGCCAGATCTGCTAATCTGAATGATAAAAAGTATTTACAGCCAGCAGCCCTGCAGAACCAACACAGCTCAGAGGGAGTGAAATGGATACCCTTGAGGCTTGCACAGTCACCTGTTAACCAAGTTCTAATTTCGTGGCCATCTGTGCCATGCCATTGTCTAAATCCCCGCTACTTCACCTGTACTATGCTGCTGAAGACAATAGAGTTGTCCGGGTATCACTGAGGGCAACATTTGGTCTTCAGAATGTTTGTTTCAAGTGATGAGGCATGAACCGAGCTTGATTCTCAGATTTTGGAGGAATCCGGTAGGGTTGGCTTGTTACTTGTAAACTGAGCAGGTTAGTTATAAAATGAGCCAAGACAAAGAACTAGCAGATACAACATTTGATTTTATGCAGGGTCACCTCTTGAAACAGAATTACCATTTTCTGGAGGAAAGAAAAGCCTACAAGACCTGAGGAAGAGCTGCATCCATTTCACTGATTGCACTTCTTCCACATGTTGTTTTTGCATGTATAGTAAAATAAGCAAAATACCAGATTCCTCCTGAGAGGGCCACAGAACAGCAGGGAGAACTCCCAATTCTGCCCCAGAAAAATATCTTACCCCAAGAGTTAATTTTCAGACAGACCTCCAAAATTCACACAGGCAAAATCTGTGGGCTGGTCCATTTACAACTGATTATGCAAATCAGGTAGGATGACCTGCCCATGCAAAGTGCCAGTGACACACCCAGAGCCCGTAAGCAAGAGTGCAGGCAAAAATGGGGGTCCCTTTAAGAATCTAAACCTCCCTAGCTCCAGTGTTTAACCTGATTTGACAAAGCCATTCATCCACATTCCAAGTGAGAATTAAAACAGTTTAACAGTCACGGTGCAGAGTAACTGAGAGCAGAGTTTGGTCCAAAATAGTGGTCTTATTCAGGAAGCAGCAAAGTAGAACACCACATGCTGTCTTTCTTCCATTGCAATACAGGCCGAGTAGGCAGTAACCCAGTGACAAGATGTGCAGTTACTGCAGGGTCCCACAGCATCTACATGCCAACATCCATGTGCAATAATTAGGCTGCTGTGCTATGAGCATGTTTCTATTCCAGTAGGCTATGCAAGGCCTGGATCTTGTCCTCCTCTCTACAAACTGTATACTGAGTAACAGGGATTAGCCCCACTCTCTCATCCATACATCACAATTACATGCCATCACCACCAGCAAATGGAGTGCAACCATTTCTGCAACACAAACATAGGTGACCTTCATGGTGCCAGATCTTCACAGTCCTTTGCATGTGTTATGAGTCCCCAAGCCAGAAGGCAAAGATTACGATCATAATCAAATACCAAAGGCAAATAAAGAGCTGGGCTGAGGTACTCCTACTGTCGCAGAGCTGCAGACCAGCAGGTCCCGTTTGTCTAACCCACACGAAGTAGGGCCTGTTTCCTTCCATACACTGGGAAAGAGCATGGGGTTTGCATGCAAGGAGCTCTAGAAATAAAAGGAACTGTAAAAGATCTCAGCCACTTTTTTGCAACATTTCAGAGAAAGCCACTCACCTTTAGGCAAGGACAAAGCAGGGAAAGCATCAGCCCCATAAGAATTTACTGGAGAAAGTTCTGAGCATGAAGGGAACACAAACAAGAAATCTAAACCCGGGGTCTGATTATCATCTTTCTTCAGTTCTTTGCTGTTGAAACTCCAGTGACATCATGATCCCAGAGGAACTGCACTGCTGTGGATCTAAAGTCTGGGGATTGAAGGGTAGCCAAAGTAGACAAGGCTTGAGAGTTATTACTGCCGTGCCATCTAGTTGTGCTAGTCTAGAGCACAGGTGGGCAACAAGGTGTTAAATGTACTTAAGTCCTACCTATATTACAGGCATCACCAATGCAGCTGCAACTTGAGAGTTAAATGTCCAAAAAGGCCTGGTACAGATTCAGACACCCACTACCACAGCACCTACATACCTTCAGAAACCCAAGCACATGAATGATTCCAGACTGTTTGCTCGCTATGAGTAACACCTCACCAGGATTGCCATGCAGTTACTCCCTCTGAGCCCACCTATCATTTTGTAAGTGCCAATGATGATTTGTAAGAGCCAATGATAATCTGTAAGTTACTACTTATAAAGTTGTGGGACTAACAATATTGACTTTATCCAGCAGGCAAGCCAAGCTGCCTCTGTGAGCACAACCTGCCAGCTGTGATCATGTCTAACAGAGCAGGCCAAGAGCTCCAGCTCATTTCTGCTTAGCATCTGCATAGAATTTGAACTCAGGGCTCCCATGGAATGATCAACGTGCTAGTCCCCTGAGCCACCAGGCACTCCCTCTCCCCTCTCTACGATGTTTCTGAATAAGAAGAACCTGACTGCTTCTCTCCTGCTGCGCACAGAGGATATCCACTGATATAAATGAGGTACCAAGTAAATGGGCTGGCCTAGCAGCACTTGTGCCAGAATGCAACAAGAGCTTCACTACCTCTCTGCTCCCCTACTCCAGTACCAGGCTGGCAGTTGCAGATCCCACTCTTCCTCATACCAGCCCACTCAACCTCTGGAAACCCTCCATGCAGCCCAGAAAGATGGCTCTGCTCTCTCTCAGGACAAGTGCCTGGACTGAGGAAGACAAACATGCTAGAGTACCCCCTCCACCTCCAAGCAAAAACACCCCAGCAGAACAGCTCATTCCCTCCTGCAAACCCCAGGGACCAGAGCACATGCTGAGCCCAGTCCTAAGGCAACAACTTTCTTTGCTGCCTCCAAGTGCACTGCCTTCCCTCGCTCTTGCTCCCTTGTGCACATAACAAGACACAAGCACACAGGATACTAGCACTCACAAGCTGCAATATCAGTGGCTCACGAGTGGACAAACAAAGCACACGGAGGGATTTTTCATTCATCCTTCAAGGAGCAGGCCAGAGCCTCGCCCTCAAGGAACAGAGCCCTCCTGCATGGGAGGCAGCCTCCCAAAACAGCCTCACCAAGGCACTGAGATTGTTCACTTAGCAGACCCAAAACAAAGGGCGTCACTGCACTTAGATACCACAGGCAGGGACACACACTGGGCAGATGACGGCTTGGATGTGGCCAGGTCTAAGGGGCAGCACTGACTCTCTGGGACTGCACACACATTAAGGCAGGGGTGGGCAAAATGGCAGATCTGGCCAGTGGCCAGAGTCCATTTCCCAGCAGCCCCTGCCTGCATTGCTGAGGTCAGTTTCCATGGAGACTGCAGCAGTGGTGGTGCCATGACATGTTTTCCCATGCGAGACAGGGTGCTCACAGCCCTGCCTAGGTTGCAATGTGGGTAACTCCATTCTGCCAACCAAAGCTCCTCCATGCTTTCAATTAGACACAGAAATTGCTTTCCCTTCCTGTCTGTGCTGCTGGGGCTGGCTCCGTTTCAGCAATCCCTGTGCACGAAGAGCTGGGGAAGCACTCTGGGATCCTCTGGAAGGAGTCGCTGTATCAATTAAGGTCATATTGAATTACCTGGCCTGGGAATTTAGCCATCTGGGGAGCAAGACTGACCCCCCGCCCAACCCCTGCAGGCTCCCTGCCTGCTATCACTGCTGCCGAGCAACTTCCTGGAAGACCCTGCCAGTAAGCAGAGGCAGTGTTGCTGGAGAGACTGGCTTAGCAGCAGCAGCCTCCTTCCCATTCAGCTCTTTCTCTGCACCATGCTGGGACCTCAGCCAGAGACAAGGGCCTACAAACCTACAGAGCACTTCCCTCAGCAGAGGGCTACTTACCTCAGCACTCACATACAGCCACAGCACCTTAGTAAACAACTAGCCTGCTGCAGGCAGCCAGTGAGGTTGAGAAAAAGTCCCTTCCTGACTGAGCAAAGCCAGCACATCATAGAGGAGATGATGCTTATTGGCTGGGCCAAGGCTAGGCAGGAGGGCAATGCTGGGGCCAGCTCACCTGAGCACAAGCCATGTCTCGAGAGAGGTCTGCAGCACTGCTGCCACACCACTGAGGCTGCAGACACGTCAGCTCCAGTATGCTGGGATGGGGCAGCCCCCGTCTGTGCTCACATGGGACAGCGCCAGGGCAAGGGAAGGTGCCACAGGCAGTGCTGGCACTCCAGTAGGCAGCTCTCAAGGCCAGTGGGGAGCCAGTAACCCGGTAGGTGCTTGTGTGAGCTGTTGCTAGAGACAGCATCGTCCAGATGAAAGGCGGAACTGCTGTCCAGACCTCCCCATGGGCTCTCAGGAGGCTGTGGCAGCTGCCACCAGAGTACTGTTGTTAGCTACAGTCCCAACCAGCGACACGCTGCCAACCTAAAACTCTCCCAGCAGGTTCAACTGGACACACTGTTCCTCACCACTCCTGCTACACGACCCTGCTGAAAAACATTGCACTTCACCACCAAGTCAATTGTTTTTAATGACCCAAGATGGCAACTGTGAGCATTATAAGGAAACTCACTGAGCGCTAAGTGAAATCAGGTATCAATTTCAAATGAGCGTTATAGCAAAATAGCACTAAGTGAAATGGCATTAAGTGGGGGTTACCTGTACAGATGCATTATAAACACTGCCAGATTTATCTCCAGCTCCAGATGTGTTACAACAGGGTTGAACTTGGGCCAAAGTATCTGAAAGGGCTTTTTGATCCTTTGGGACTAATGGCCCAACATAAGTTGGAAATAGGAGAGAAGCAACAGATTCTCTCACCCAGACAAACTTGCACCTGACAGCCAGAGCAGGACTGAGCCCTACCGCATGTTTACAATTGCTCTGTCC